GGCGATACCCTAAAGAATTGGTCATGGATGACTGGCGATACCTTAAGGAATGGGCCATAGATGACTGTCGATACCTTAAGGAATGGGCCATAGATGACTGGCGATACCTTAAAGAATGGGCCATAGATGACTGGCGATACCTTAAGGAATGGGCCATAGATGACTGGCGATACCTTAAAGAATGGGCCATAGATGACTGGCGATACCTTAAGGAATGGACCATAGATGACTGGCAATACCTTAAGGAATGGGCCATAGATGACTGGCGATACCTTAAGGAATGGGCCATAGATGACTGGCGATACCTTAAAGAATGGGCCATAGATGACTGGCAATACCTTAAGGAATGGGCCATAGATGACTGGCGATACCTTAAGGAATGGGCCATAGATGACTGGCGATACCTTAAGGAATGGGTCATAGATGACTGGCGATACCTCAAAGAATGGGTCATAGATGACTGGCGATACCTTAAGGAATGGGTCATAGATGACTGGCGATACCTTAAGGAATCGGCCATAGATGACTGGCGATACCTTAAAGAATTGGTCATGGATGGCTGGCGATACCTTAAGGAATGGGTCATAGATGACTGGCGATACCTTAAGGAATGGGTCATAGATGACTGGCGATACCTTAAGGAATGGGTCATGGATGACTGGCGATACCTTAAAGAATTGGTCATGGATGACTGGCGATACCTTAAGGAATGGGTCATAGATGACTGGCGATACCTTAAGGAATGGGTCATAGATGACTGGCGATACCTCAAAGAATGGTCATAGATGACTGTCGATACCTCAAGGAATGGGTCATAGATGACTGGCGATACCTCAAGGAATGGGTCATAGATGACTGGCGATACCTCAAGGAATGGGTCATAGATGACTGGCGATACCTCAAGGAATGGGTCATAGATGACTGGCGATACCTCAAGGAATGGGTCATAGATGACGGCGATACCTCAAGGAATGGGTCATAGATGACTGGCGATACCTTAAGGAATGGGTCATGGATGACTGGCGATACCTTAAGGAATGGGTCATAGATGACCGGCGATACCTTAAGGAATTGGTCATAGATGACTGGCGATACCTTAAGGAATGGACCAAAGATAAATGTCTATATTTTATGGAATGGGTTATTAGTTAACTTTTGTTAACGTAGATTATTTTTGTCTTCCGTTTTTGATGTTAAACGTGTATATGGATCAACTTAGCAGTTTTTAAGTTGTCGAAACACCGGAAAAAAGGATGATTTAAACCATCAAATATACTGGGAGAGAAAATTCTGAAAGTTCATAAAGGTAGAAGGTTTTAACAAAAACAAATACTGTTGATATTCTTTTGTTCAAAAGATTACGGGAAATGCAACTATATCATTGTAATTCGGAAATAAATTCTGATCAGAGTTATTGCCCTTTGGTACTCTCTTTCGGGTGGTATAACGATAAGCTTGACAGCCGATGGAGGCCGAGGATGATGGAAATATGACACAAAATGTGCCTTAGGGAACTGTCATAATTATTGATTTTTTCTAAATCCATTACTCCAATTCCTTCCCGCTTGTTTCTGTTAATTCCTTTTAAACACCAATCTATGATCGTGTTGACAGTTTACAGATACACAGATACAACAGGGAACAAAATAACCTGAAATTAATCACAAAAGCGGCAATTTAACCGTGTGTATCTTTTACTCGCATTGGTCTGGAGATTTTCTATTAATGTATAATAATGCATTTCCCTCGTGGTGTTCCGTAAAAGCATGCCCGTCCGCACCCAACCGTCTGAATCAATGACGTAGATGATAGTTGATCCAACTGGGTGGAATTTACAACATATCAAATTAATGGAATACACCAAAACAATGTGTTGTGCAGCGAGTTTGCCTCTTTTTGCATACAAAACATTCGTATTGAATAATGAATTTACGACATCCAATAAGTTCTACATCGTTGCGTTTTATCACTTTTGATCACGAACTTTAATTCGATCTAAAACAGAGAAATAATTCATATCTGCACTTTTATCAGATCGGTTTACGAGAGCATGTGTTGCTCTGTCAGGTATTTATCTACAGTATAGCTGATTAACAGTGTGGTGTAGATTGGGGGCGGAAAGAAGGTGAAAGGGGCTGCTGCTGAGGGGAGAGGGGACAAGACAAAAAGGTTGACCGTGGTTAAAGGGCTGGGGGAAGGGGCAGCTAGATGCCATATTGTGATAAAAGAAAACCTCAGTTTTATTTATTTTCTAAGCCACATTTACAGAAGTGACAAATTGAGTATTGTTTCTGGTATTGCTGTGTTTAGTGCGCCATTTTTTGTAGTATATACAATGATATGATTTAAAATTAATACAAATTACATGCCGTTATGATACCATATCCTCAGTGACTGGAATACAGCCATTTTAGTATAATGCTTTCTGGACTGGAATTCCTATCCACGTCATAACACGAAGAAGGTTCTTTGTAGTATAACAGCATCAATATTTTCTAAATGAATAATTTACCTGTTTATCACGCGTCGATTTTCACGCTGTGCGTTTTACGGGTAAATTCATACCTTAGAATTTGGAATCCATATCAGGGATGGTGTCCGGCTTCACATTGCACAATTGTACAAATGCACATAAAAAATAGAATTTCTGAGTTGAACATGACGTGTGTCCCATCAATAGATTTTATAGCGAATTACAAGGTGCAGTATATTGTGTTTACTAGTACACAGTTCACTAAAGGAAATGACGTGAAGTCAAATTTCACGAAAATTCCCGAAATCTTGCGATTTGATGTTCATTATCTACCTGAACCTTCGGGATAAAAAGGTTTTAAGTGGAATGATAAGAGTTGAGGTGTACAACAGACGTACAGAAAAAAACTTGCATAACTTGCCACGAATGACATCACCATGCCACAGTCATCACTGACCAAATGACATTGTGATGATGGTGATGACGATGATGATAATATTGATGATGACCGACGTTTATTCTTCACAATGTTTAGTCACGTGATTAGACACAGTTACACGAACATATGAAATCAGTCGCTGATAGGAAACGCGAAGTTTATTGTTATTTAGCAATCTAGACAGAACAACGGTGTGTGCTATATATATAAACGTGCTTTCCTTTGCCGAAAGAGTCCATCATTTGAAAATCTCTCTCTCCCTCTCTCTCCGTGAAATTTTGTATTTAAACATGTCGTTTTGTCTTGTCATTATGTATTTTGTCAAACTAAGGCCTTAATTTAAGTTGGAAAACTTGAGCCCAATCCCATTGAAACTGTTCAATCAAATTTATTTAAATCAAATTAGTAAATCATGATAAATGCAATAACATGTGTCAGTTGAATACCAATTAAAGAATAGCGAATGTCTTGAGGGAGACAAAATAAAACGAAATTAATATTAAATAGATCGATTGATCTCGGGAAGGTTTCTATGATACAAAGTGTAATATAATTTGTTACCGGTTTATCTACGTCTGTGTGCTATAGATAAATTATCAGTGTGTGTCGTCAGAGAATATGGCTATAAAATGGGGGAAAAAATCAATATATAAATGTTTGATATACAGATGAATTGTTGATAGATATTTCAAACGTACCGAAATTGACATTTCCTGAATTATTTATCGCCGTAGTCGAAATATAAGTAGTGATAGATGTTATCTAAGCCTTGACCTTTTTCATTTTGTGCCAACGTGATAAGGACAAATTTAACATGAATTTACGTTCTCGGCACATGAATGCCAACTTCCATTCATCATAAGAGAAGACAATTTGCGTACATTACATTACACTGTCCCTACGTTGTTGGTAGCTCATGAGCTGGTAGTACACTTTTTTGAAGGTTATATTGTACCAATGCTATACAATATTAATTATAACAGGGTGTATCCAGAGTGGTTTATATCTTAACGGGCTTTGCTCGTGTACGTTTCATTTACAGAGTATTATACAGGTCTTTCAGCTCGGCTTTTATTCGACCAAACACGTAGCTGTTGTAGGATTGGAGCTTGTATAGAGAGAAGAATAAAACTTATCACGGATTCAAAATGTAATAAATGTTTGTTTCTGACACCAAAATTCTGATCGTAGACTTCTAAATTTAGGCCCTTAGCACCACTGACGAGTCCTAGAAGGAGGAAACAGCTGTGTGATGCAGTTTAATTCCTTGTTTGGCTCTACTGTATTTAATTCTAAATTATTAAAAGTTGGCTTTCACTTGTGTGTCGTTTGTGCAACCGTTGATGTAAAATGTAGACATAATGTTAACATAAAAACGCGCAAAAGATTAAAAGTTATTCCATGAAAAATTCTGAAAAAAAAAAAACAATTAAAATGTGAGCTTGCCTACAACCTTTGGAAAACTAATAAAATTAGTATTTATAATCTGTGTAAGTGTTCTCGTCGGCAAACATCCTGTTGGACCGAAACATGTGTTGTCTATATACACTTTCGGTTTGGGAATAAGATACGGTTTTGTTGGTATATGCTGTGTTCTGCTAAACGTGACCGACTCGGTTACTGGGAATTGATAATGGCGTTTCTTTGAAAGTGAACTGTTTCCTGTGTACCAGAACGGAATTTTTTTCTTAGCTCTATATTGTTTTTGTTTAAAAGTATTACTATGTGTAATAATTGGATTAGCATATTTGGTGTTTTTAATCTTCTTTAGTCTTTTCAAAAAATATAGAACCGTGGATTTTTTGGAGGGAAATGGTCTCTTCTTTTCCTTGCTATGAACATTTTTAAATATTCTCTTAGTTTTTTTCAATTTCTGTTTACGACTTTTTTCTAGTTTGGTCTTGTATTTTTGAAAAATGCGACCCCGTCTTCGCGCTTTCTGTTTGTCAAATCTAAATGTTTTAAAGCGGGGGGATTCTTGCTTGGTTTTCTTTCGTTTTCTTTTTTTCTGAGTGACGTCAAAAGTTCGTTTTTTATGAAGACAATTGGTTTTACGATTGTAAGTATAAACATGAAATCGATTCAAACCTTTCTGTTTCGGAGAAGCATGGCCGACATTCGGTACAGGTGCCGCCAAAATTGGTGGTTCGTTTGTGTCTTGATGCCTCTTGACGAATCTTGGAGGGTTGCCAGAATCACGTGGTGGGCAATGTTCTTGGCAACTGTTGTCAGGGACGCAGCCGACGTTCTCGACGAATGACGTATTCATTGGACAACACATGGGGAATGACTTTCGGCTGTTGCAGTACCAGAACGACCGGCAGTCCGCAGTGTGCTTGTGAGCTTGCATGTAAGGATCGCCACATTTGTCTGAAAGAAACAAACTTGGATTAGAATTGAAGTAAGCCGTACACACTAGAACTACACTAAACTTATCCATGACAAAACTCTGATGTGTTTGCAAATATAAATTTGTGTGATTTTCAAATCTATATAAAAATGTAAAAAAAAAATACACGTTTTTTCATGCAATTCTATTTCAAAAATTTGCTATATTTTTACTAAATACTATCATCTACTACTACTACTAGTACATGCGGCTTACTGCAAAACTATTCAAAGTTCATTTCTCTTTTGGAGCAACGATCGGTCAACTCTCACCCGACCCTGTTGTACGTTCGAATGGTACCCGCAAATGATAGCCACCTTTCACCTCCTTAAGATAATTTAAATGTTGTCTAATTTTTAGATGCTCCTTTGTGAGGTAGACAGAAAATTCAACTCCAGGATAAGATTATTGATGTTCAAAACTTGTCAGAGCCTCGCACTGATCTTCAAAAATCTTAACCTCCGGTGGAGAATTCTCTGTCTTCATAATACTTGGTACCATTTATCAAGTATAATGAAAGAGGTCGTTATTTTATGACGTCGTGAGGTTTGAACCCATAAAGATGACTAAGTCAAATCATAATGTTGATTAAAAACGATAAACCGGAAGTCTTAGTACACCTTTATTTGAGTTTACCTGCGCAAAATATTAAAATGACATGAAAGAAATGCTATATACGTTTTGATTGAAATAGTTAAATGAAATGCTACCGAATGTCGTTAAATCAAAAATGGAATCTGTTCTTTGTACAATTTATAACTCGGGTCGAGACTGGTTTTTGATAAAATTTATTTTCCATTTTTTAGAGTGGAATAATGTCTTATATCATTAAGTAAAAACGAAACTGATGACAAAAAGTGAGAACACCGACAGGTGCTAACCAATCAAAATAAAATGACACTCGGTTATTATGAAATATCGAATATTCGTATTGAAGTTATAGACATTTTTTGAACGCTAACCATAACAAGAACCACAACTCTTACAAAAATAGAGAAAACGAGCTTATTGATTATCGAGAATAATTGTTTTGATGTAACAGAAAATCATGGTAGGTGGTAAAAGATGTTTTTTGTCCTTCATTCAGTGGGTTTTTTCGTCTTTTCATTTGTCGCTTGGAGTCTTCGCTCCGCTCACAGCAAAAAAGACGAAATATATACAGTCACTTGAGAAAAAATACCGCACGAGAGGAGAAATAATCAAGAGATCTAAAAATGAAAGATCCAAATTGTTTAATTGTGACATGGTCCGATCTTGTGAAATTTTCAAATAAAGTGGTTTTGAAATGTTATGTATGAATAAAATGTATGTGTAAATCCGATATGAATCTTCCGTATGTTTTCGCAAACTTTAAAACATAATGAACATTTATTTTATTCTAATTTGTCTTTATGCTATTAAAGCTTAGTGTACCTGGGTATTTTAGTTACCAAAGCGACTGGTCACAGGCGTCCTAAGAGACATGACGTATACGGTCCACGTAACTGATTTCTGAAACATATTCTTGATTTACCCGGATTTCTAGCGATGGTAAGTTTACGGGATATGAAGTTGGTGAATATCTTCGTCTGTTCACTGAAATACGCTGGTCAGTTATATTTTTCATTCACCGGGAAAAAGGGAGAGCACACAAGAAGAGTCGGATTTGATAAACATTCAATAAGAAATTATCGTTACGCAAATGATCAGAAAGGCACCAAACACCTTTCACCCATCTATTACTCTATCTCGCCCAGTTTACCACGCCTCTCCACAAGGCGGATCTACATCCACAAGTACCAGATACATAGATGGATGATCAATTATTGAAAAACTGAATTGTTAAACCGGAAGTTGTTATCAAATTTCGAAACACCTCGTCTACTACCTACATTCACTATGAAAACACAACTTCCTAGCAGTTCCGAATTTCGTTTGAAGATCTGTGATACAGACAATAGTGGCTTAATTTGTATAGTTCTAGCCTTTTCGGATTTTAAATATTGGTCTTTATAAGACTGCCTTGTATATCTTAGCACTGAATCCGAACAAGGCAAAAAAACGACTGACCCCACTCCTGTATAGAGCAGTCCTACATCTTATAGGCTATTTTTAGCACTATTTTTTTTTCTATTTTGCTTGCTTTAAGCTAACCAGCATTTCTCCTTAAATTACTATTCAGAAATATCTATTTATATTTATATACAAACCCACATTTTAAAATCACGTAATTATTCTTTATGATTTAGACGAGAATAAAAGTTGAAACCGAACCGCGAAGTCTAAACATTAATGGCCGCGTATACATGCATTTTGGACATCGTAATTTTTTTTGAAATTCCTATTCCTCCTCTTTTGATTGACTGTCACTATCACTATTATGTTCACTACTATCATCGTCGCTGTCCTGACTTTTATCATCTGTGTTACCATGGTGATGGTCCGGGGAACCATCGTGATGGTGATGACAACTATTACAACTACTTCCGCTTTTCAACTTCCGGTTTTTGTTATGATCCACTTCGGAACTATCATCTGATACACCACGTAACATGATTTTCTCTCTCCTAAACATCTCCCACATCAGATGCATAAATTGAGACTGAAGGTTTCGTTTACCCGTCAAGCAGTAGACCATATGAGCAGGCTGACACGTCATGGAGTCTTGATCCCAAAAATTACCCCACGGACATTCCTGTATGGAATGTTGCCGCTTCCCGTCCGCTGTAAAGTAACACTGTACGAACTTATCACAGTCTGTGGGATGTCTATTGAACCCAGCGCCATTCTTCATCCTACAGCCATCACAAGGGTCTGAAACAAGTATACATCGCATTACTACCACTACTGCAGCGACATCCCAAATATCCTGTCTTTTTTCTATATTAAAGTTTAACCTATTTTTGGTGCGTTGAAATTCTCGCGTTACTCCAACAAAGTTGCTGAATAAGTTTCGGTTTGGCGAAATGTCAAGAAAAATCTCAAGGTTTCATGCTTTTTATTGTTATTATTATTTTTTTCTTTTAAATTCAGAGAGCTAAAAAATCCGAACGATTGTTGCAAGAAGTTGTGAAACACCTTTCATTGAACAATTATCGATCACCATTCTTATACACGTATATGGTTACGTAATGTTAATTGTGTATGGTGTGGAAATTGATTGGATTTACATTTCTAATGGAACTAGCTATTTATTGGTCGATCAGCTACGTATAATACCTATTGGCTTGGTTGTGGTTGGTGCAGGAGTTGTCGTCGTTGTGGTTGTTGTGGGCGTGGTTGTGGTTGTAGTCGGTGCCGGAGTAGTTGTCGTTGTTGTTGTCGTTGTCGTTGTCGTCGTCGTTGTTGTTGTGGTTGTGGTTGTTGTTGGACATACTTGGCGAACAAGCGACGAAACGACATTCTTCAGTTGGTCAAATGACGATACAGACATGACGTTAGATGTGTTACTAGCTATAGCCCGCAGTTCGTCGTTGTCGATGAGTTGAGTGACGCCAACAGCAAACATATCTATTCCCTCCGTCTGGGCGGCATTAGCTTGTCGGGCAGTCTGTGTTGGAACCTTGGATATTCCGTCGGTGATTACGATACCGACGCGAGGGACATTACGTCGGCCTTGCATCGAGAACATTTGTCGCATGGCTTGGATACCTGAAAGTATAAAGAATTGACATAAACAGACGATATTCTAAATAACGTTTGAAAGATACCATAGGATTTGGATTTAAAGTAATTTTATTGTCAAAATAAGCAAAAATTGATTAAGCACAAGCTACAAGAACATCTTTAACGCCCTTTCCTAGTAAGATAACTACACACATATATAGCATAAGATGGTTTGACTAAATTGAATTTTATACGTGTAATTTTTAAATCTGTACCTGCTAATGAGCCAAATATCTTCATTTCTATGGTGGTGTCGTGGTGGATAAGAAAGACAATGACATTGTTTACTGCAAGTATTGTATTATCCGCAAAGATAAATTTGTTTTAATTCTTCTTGTTTTATCATATAAAAAGTTTTCAGAAAATAGATTTAGTAGTAGTTGAAAAAACAAACAAAAAAGAAAAAAATATATATATATTTATATACAAGTATGACCGGGTGTAGATTTGCCTAGTTTACAGTAAAAACTGCTGACTTTGTGGATGGTTGTAGATATATTTTGTAAACTCTTTCCAAACAATATCGACCGATACGTATCTATACAAGATCACATTTTAACTCATGATATATTTTTGATGTTAGAGTAAGTGTTAGATCGTGAGTGGGCGAGAGCGTAAGAGACACATAAGTGTTCTAATGTCGAGATAATATCAAAACGTTGAGATCGTTTTTTTTATTATTATTTGGCGTGAAGAACATGGAATGTGTTTTAATTTTAGTTAACAGATGACATCAGAGCTAGCCAGGTTAAACAATGGATAAATTTAATTGCCAGATTCAATGGTGAAGATGATGACATTTCGTGTTTTCTTAATTTCATTGGACACGAAATTACACATTCCTTAAACACAAAAATGTTTTTTATTTTTTTTTCGTTTGTTTTTGTGTTTTGTTTTATGATTTTGTTTTTGCTTGTTTGTTTATGTTTTTTTCATAAAGTTGACAGAATGGGTGTGTCACCTTTCGGCTTTTCTATAGTTATATACATTGTAGATTGGCACTGGTAAGCATTTTAACAGGGAAACACACTTACATAAAAAAAATTCCTAGTGTTTCATTCGGTGCAACAAAATAATTAAGATTTCAATGCCAAGCCTCAGGGACTCTATCATAATTACCCAGGTCAGTTCGTGTTCCGTCCCGCGGATGAATAAGTGACAATGTATCAATGCGCAGTCGCCTTCTGTCTGCACTAAGTGGAAGTTTGGCGGCCACATCACTACTGTAAAGAACAAGTCCAAACCTTGCCTGGTCATCCGCCAACTGTAGTCCGTCAATTAAGTCCACCAGTGATCGCTTCAGGGTGACAAAATCCTTAGCCGTGATACTGTCCGATCCGTCCACGACCACAATAACGTCCAGCAAGTCTCGGCAACCTAGAGAAATAACACGAAAAACAAAAAAATATACATAAATAAACCAACGTTACATGTCTTTAACATTCATTTATCATAATTACGCCACAAATGTGTCAACAGCAAAAACTAGGAAGACGTGTGTCTGTCACAGTTTGTACTTTCCTTGTTACAACATGTCACAGGTCACCAATTATAATGCAGCAGGTTTTGTGTTCACAACCTGAGAAACTACGTCACTGTTTACAGCATGTCAAACTCTCTGGCTACTAGAGAGACTAACTCTAGTTCCAGTAGGAGCTGCACGGTCAGTTTACAGTTCCCTATTTATACGATACGGTAGTGAAAACAATACTTAACTAGTTACCGTATGGTACTATAGCTCTCTGTAACAGAATGACTAACCATATCCTTCGCTAATAACAACCTCAATAATTATAGTTCCTTTGTTACAATTTAACCAATTACATTGTTAAATTTATTCAAATTTATTGAGAACTATTTATCCAAGATACATGAAATAAAGAAAAGATTTTTTTAAAACCGTTTTACAAGATTTTTTTTATATTTATGGTACGGTAGTCAGGATCTTGGGGTTCTACGTACTGGATGAAATTGGAAAATAATTTCTTAATTATCAATAATGTTTCAATGAAGTATAACGATAGTTATTGTAGTTTTCCAATACAAACTATAGTTCCATCATCACAAACATATAAACTTTAGTTCCCTTGTCACAAATATTTGTATCATAGTTCCCTCGCCACACAAATATAAACTTTAGGTCCATCATCACACAAATGTAAATTATAGTTCCGTCTTCACAAATATTATAATTGTACTTCTTCACTAACATATAGACGATAATAAACTCTTCACATATTTATAATTCATAACTCCTTTATCTCAAATATAGCAAACTACAGATCCCTCATTTCAAACTTATAAACTATAGTACCCTCATCACACACTTGTAACCTATAGTTCCCTTATCACATAATTGTAACCTTCGGTTACCTCGCTACACGAGGAAAGCATCTGAAACTATAATTTCATCATATCCAGTGTAAAAAAAAGATATTTTATGTAACAATATTAACAAATATAGTTCCATGTTTACAGCATGATAAACTCCATTGTCCTAATTAAAACAGGAAAACTAACTATATTTCCTAGACTACAAGTTCACGAGCATAAGTTCATTTACAGCATAAAAAACTATAGTTTCCTGGAATGAGGAATGTTTCAGGTAAAATATAGTTCTGGTTACCTTCGTCGATTTGTAGTTACAACGTTACAATATTTCAGATTTTGCTTCTCTTTTTATACTATGGATAAGATAATATCATGTCTGTAGTCTTTGACGTTATAAAAATGCATACTATGGCAACGACCCGGTATACTTAGGCAAATAAGTTGTATGACAATCACACAACAGAGCTGGTCGCAACATTTCACGAAGTTCAACCAAGTAATATGATTTTACAACAGGGCTCATCTTTATAATAATATTTTATAACAGAGCTCAATCCTACAGTATCATTTAATAACAGAGATCAACACTACAGCATCATTTTATATCAGAGCTCTACCCAATAAGATAATCATATGTCAGAGCTCCACACAATAAGCTTATTATATATCAGAGCTCCACAAAATAAGCTTATTATATATCAGAGCTCCACAGAATAAGCTAATTCTATATCAGAGCTCCACACAATAAGCTTATTATATATCAGAGCTCCACACAATAAGCTTATTATATATCAGAGCTCCACACAATAAGCTTATTATATATCAGAGCTCCACACCACACAATAAGCTTATTATATATCAGAGCTCCACACAATCAGAGCTCCACACAATAAGCTAATTATATATCAGAGTTCCACACAATAAGCTTATTATATATCAGAGCTCCACAGAATAAGCTAATTATATATCAGAGCTCCACAGAATAAGCTTATTCTATATCAGAGCTCCACAAAATAAGCTTATTCTATATCAGAGCTCCACACAATAAGCTAATTATATATCAGAGCTCCACAGAATAAGCTTATTCTATATCAGAGCTCCACACAATAAGCTTATTATATATCAGAGCTCCACACAATAAGCTAATTATATATCAGAGCTCCACAGAATAAGCTTATTCTATATCAGAGCTCCACACAATAAGCTAATTATATATCAGAGCTCCACACAATAAGCTAATTATATATCAGAGCTCCACAGAATAAGCTTATTCTATATCAGAGCTCCACACAATAAGCTTATTATATATCAGAATTCCACCCAATGAGATAATTATATATCAGAGCTCCACACAATAAGCTTATTATATATCAGAGCTCAGCCTAAAACATAATTGTATCTTAACAGCAGAGCCCAACTTGATCACCTTAATACCTGTAACGGAGGTCACCTCTGTTTGATACAGAGCTTAGCTAATAACCTATATAAAAGAGCTCAGACACATCAATTGGTTAAAAATAGGCCGGATTAATTGTTAATTTTAGGGAATGAGCTTCGTATTGGTGCTTACGGTGGAGTTACGAGAAGCGTATGGAATTCGCATTTATACATGGCTTGTCGCGCGCTTCTAATATACATGGTATATATTGTACCTGTGCTACCTGTACGATAGTTACCTGCAGGGCTAGTCGACTTCGCCGTAATGAGTGTTACGTGACCCCCTGGATGTACGTTGCATTAACGACCATTTGGATGAACATGGTCAATATATTTAGCAGTGTTCAACGAATACAACCCTGGTGTTTATGTACTGCGGTATGTTTTTGATCTGTATGTCTGTTCGTCCGCGATTCCTAAATTCATTTAGTTTCCTTTGAGTTATGAAGACATGTCCTTTTCGTGATTCGTGAATATCAAGACAGAAAAGGACGGACACCTCATCCACAGTGAAGTATTTATCGGGTTTTATGTCAGCTTTTACGTCCGTTCTGCCTTTCAGCGGAACACAATAAAGTGAATTCTGTTTTGTTATTGATAGCTGGGTACGCATCAGTATATTGTTTACATAAAAAAAGAAAAAAACAAATTGCACGTTATTTTTTAGGAACCCTATACATGTCCTATATTTCGTCCCATTGACTCCCACATATCATAACTTAAACAATACGACTCCTACATCTGTATTTCTCCAATTCGGTTTTATTTCACAAGCAAATATATAAAAATCGAGTTTGACTCGGACGATTTTCGACACACTACAAAAATGCTTTTAAAGCAACAAAAATTGACAAGTAGCGAGTTGTCAGCTAAAGTTCGTCATTGGGCAGCTGTCCAACTCGGCAGTTAACTTCCTACTTATATAAGCCCCGTTAATCAAACGTTTTGGTTTAATTCAATGAGAATTTCCCAGAAACACATACAAACGGTAAAAAATCATATGATTATCATTAACCGAAGACGCGCTGTAAAGTTCTTGTACACAATTTTATCGCTGACATTCTACTTTTCTCTTTTCTATAGAACGATAACATACTAATCAAATTATTCTTAATTCAGATAGTTTAATAGGAATTATTTTACGATAAAATTTGCTACTTTCTTTCTTGCTATTTTGTGTGGGTTTTTTTCGATCGTAAGTATTCTTTTCAGAAATAAAATTTTATATTTCCACTTTTTTTTCTCTTCAAGTCACGTTTTACTTCTTTACATTTAACATTGCTCTCGCTTTCCTCGTGGTATATTTTGAATTGATTTAATTGAAATACTACTTCTCCAGAAATGATAATGAGAATTAAATTCAACTTATAACCGACATAGTCGGCATTATTCTGACGTCCTATCGGTTGTCTTTTTTTATATCGTTATGACAAAAAATAAATCTGAAAATGGTTTAGTTCAAAAAAAAAAAAAAAAAAAACCAGATAATTTTCCAAACGAACGAAGAAAAAATAACTAAAACATTCTTTATATAATATATTCCAGTAAAAAATGTCGACTTACCAGGGACCCGCGGTATCCGAGGTCGGGTAGGCCATCGGCGAGTTGCGGTGAGAACATTTTGAATAAACAATGAACAAAGTGTAATAATCAATATTTCCCATTTGGACACCATATTTATCCGTTACTCAATGATTGCAATGATCTTCTTCGGACATATGCACAGTCTGGAACGTAATTTAGATTTTTACAGTGAAAATTCGGACCAGCAGTGGCGGAGACGGGCTTGGTTCGTCCCTGGTGTCAATCCGGACTTGCAATGACGGATTCGGTTTTTAGTTTGGTGTCATTAAGGCGCTGACTAACACGACTTGGTGCTTACCCCTCGTGTCGTGTGTGGGGACAGTACACGTGTTGTCCATTTCACAATTATATATATATGTACCTAGGCAGTAATTAAGTGATTTTAGCTCTGTCTACTGTACTCCTTCAAATACCTGTACTGAAAGGCTAAACCAACTCGACTATCTGTGTCAGAATAAATCTGTTTAAATCAGAGCCATTTTTCGAAACGATTTATAAGCTGCTTGTTTGGGAAATGGATTTTGCAACTGTCGATTATGGGCTACGTTTATCATCATATATTTTTTTATGGTTCATAGATGCAAAATATTAACATTGAAATAATTTAATTACACATATATGTTTTCATAATTTCTTTAATTGTAATTCATAATTTTTCTCTCTCTCTGACTCTCTCTCTACCTCTCTCTCTGTCTCTTCTCTCTCTCTCTCTCTCTCTCTCTCTCTCTCTCTCTCTCTCTCGTCTCTCTCTCTCTCTCTCTCTCTCTCTCTCTCTCTCTCTCTCTCTCTCTCTCTCTCCGATTGACGACGGATTCTATAATGTATTCCACTGTACCTCAAAACAATACTCAATAGTAGACGGAAATGTGTGTCTAGGGAGAATCCTAAAAGACCAAATACTACTGAATTTCATAAATTATTCATTTATATAACATACAGTGTGTAACGTGGAATTTATATAATTTGCTAAACTATTACTGTAATTAAAATGATAATTAATTCAAAATACCATCATCTATCCTGCCTAATCATGCATTATTATTGTTATCCACTTGTAGAAAAGTATTCTATACAATTTCTTCTTTATCAAAAAGAAAACAATTATCATTGTTCGATGTATTAAATAATCTGATAATAACACTAACCACATATTTTATTGGCCTGGCCTTTACCCCCCGCAGTGAGCCATCACGCTCCGTGTCGGAACCACCAGTGCGTGCCGTTCTCCGCTATTTATGTCAGAAGTTTTTTGTCGATATTTTTGACGTTGACTATGTATGTTAATACATATGTTTTTTTAATTTACAAATATGCCACTTTAAAGCTGATGTGTTACAGACATAATGACATTTTTACAACGCTTTTAATTATTCCAGCAATATTGATTGTATATAAGTATATGTAATTAGAACCGTGAAAGGACCAGACCACCGGACCGTGGCAAGTCAACATGACATCTATTCAAGGTTTATTCCAGATCTAAAGACCATCAATAAAGCGAAGCTTTCCTATACATCTTGACGAAATACAAAATAGACAAGCTCAAAGATTTAAATCTGACTTGGCTTAGCCAAGGAGATTTAATATCATCTTATTACATATCCCTCTCCTATCTTTCATGTACTAGACTCATCTCCCGCTACATTTACAGTGTGAGATTTGATTATGGATCTGTATAAAAAGCAACTTCAGGAAGGAAGTCGACAAGACAAAGAGAGTATGACATCGTTTTTTCTAAATATTATATCATTGTTACTGAGGCTCAAATTTCAGAAATTTGTAGGAAAGTCTCCTAATAATTGTCTATTTCAAAGATAACTGGGTATTTTTTTTACCAAACAGCGAGGACATGATATTTACCTCTTTTGTCTTTTCTGATTCTGATACCTGTCCAATAGACTGACATCTTTGCTGTATGAAAAGTGTTCTGTAAATGAAAACTGTACACGAGAGAGTCTTCAGATTATTCATCTTTTACTAGAATTTTCCAAATAATTTAGGTTATACAACACAAAGTATGTGAAGGAAATGGACTATGAGACTTTTGAAATTCAGTCTTATAAAAGTTAAAATTACCAAACTATGATTTAAGGAAGGCATTGTCAGCAGATTTATTACTCATAGATATAATAAAAATCCGTTTGGGGCATAGTTCTCGGGTTTGGAACAGTCTCTCAAATGAATTCCGAAAGATTGAAGAAAACTTCAATGAGTTATGAAGGCTAATATATTCCTGGATAATCCCTTCTGTCAATGCAGTAACTGCTAGAAACATCGCCTTTCTGTTTAAACTCCTTCTTACTGAATTTTCTATGTCGCCAGAACACTGACGGTCGTCGGTGAGACGATACCCGGGCACAGGAGGAGTCACGGAGACGGAAAACCTGTCAAACAACCAACAGTCGACAGAACACTGATGTTCGTCGGTGAGACGATACCCGGACACGGGAGGAGTCACGGAGACGGAAAACATGTCAAACAACCAACAGTCGACAGAACACTGATGTTTGTCGGTGAGACGATACCCGGACCAACCAACAGTGTCCACCAACCAACAGTCAACAGAACACTGATGTTCGTCGGTGAGACGATACACAGACACGTCAGGAGTCATGGAGACGGAAAACCTGTCAAACAACCAACAGTCGACAGAACACTGATGTTCGTCGGTGAGACGATACCCGGACATGGGAAGAGTCACGTATATCGCTGCTTGTATTTACAATTACAATCATCAAACTCCAGTCTGTCATATTTTTTTTAATATAAAACTCTTTCTTAAATATCTCGGAGATAATAACGTTTCTATGTGATCGCAAGTATTGCCGCTTTGTTACACTCCGATTTGCTGATTTTTCTATTAATATAACATTTCTTGTATCTAATTGTATCTAAAAAGGAGGCAGAAAATGGTGACGGAAATCCGGAATAAACAACAAAATTCTTTACATAGAGTTGTATTTTGCAACGTTTTCAAATGAAATATCTCTTGAACATTTCAAATTGCTGGTAGCAAATCCCGAAAAAGAGAGTTGAACAAAATATCTATGATAGATAAAAGGACATTAGAGATCTTCGTCAGAATTAAAGACATTCGCGATGATACCCGTGTTCAGAGGAAATACAGATGAGCTAAGCGCTTTATTTCCTTCTAAGTTTTCGAGTCTTATTTTGAGCACAGCTACTTACTAGTCACAACAAAGTACTATACAACTGGTCTTATATGAAACAGATTTCAGACTTTTGTTCATATTTTGCGAGAATTTGCGAGCAATAATAATAATAATGATAAATGAAAAAGAGTTTCGTAAGATCCTGCACGAAATGAAAATAGACTTAAGAAACGTGTTATCACTCAATTCAGAAAAGCTACATTTTGAAATGTTTAAACTAAAAATGTAGAGGATAAAAACCAAACGGAGGCAGTCATTTGTTGCGCTATTTCCAATTGATGACGTAACGACATTGTCATTTTTATGACATTACAATCGATTTCTGACAAGCGCAGCCAATGAAAAAAATCGCTTCAAGGTATACTGCACTAGAGACGTACATGTATACTCAAACATGTTACGTTAGCAAATTCACTGGATTAAAGTTAGAGGCGGGTTACGTGATAGAAGAAGAAGAAGAAGAAGAAGAAGAAGAAGAAGAAGAAGAAGAAGAAGAAGAAGAAGAAGAAGAAGGAGGAGGAGGAGGAAGGGGGGGGGGGGAGGAGGAAGAAGAAGAAGCATGGAATTCTAAAGGAAGTTCGTTCAAAACTAGAAAGGTTTCATACGGCATGTTTAACAATGGTGGGCTATATGAGATCCTGTTAGTTACTGGCATTAATTGGAGGCCGTTAATTGATACGCTTATTTAGACCTGTGTTTTGGGAGATTAATTGATACGCTGTCGTGGACATTAATTAGGGCGACTAATTGATAGACTTCCGTGTTTTTTATAGCTACGTAATGCTTCAGTAATAACGCACCATACAATCGTCTGAATTATGTCAATAAATGTATTTGTCACGGTGATAATTGATAATTATTGCTAATTGATCTTTGAGAATGTACTGTACAAGAACAGGTTGACAGATGTTGCGGTTGACAGACCTGTCGTGATTAATCCCTCGTGCATTCTCACCTGATCAACGTAATTAGCTTAAAATACAACAAACTCATAATGACTAATAATTTGTTGTTTCCGTTCTCTCTTGAGTGAAAACATTATTTTGCCATGTACGTGACAATGTGGTCGATAATTGTTAGATAGAAAGTAGCACTACATACATGCGACCCTGATTCATGATATTGGTATTAAGTTTATTGAAATATCATATCGAGGCACGGACATATGGCGATATCTTAAGTCCGTGGTCGAGGGTATGCATACATTGAAGATTGCATGAAAATAACAAAAATTTCCAGATGCTCTGGATGGGGACACTTGAACATGAATAAAGTATTATTTACGTTCAAGTTTGTGGCATTTTTGTGAAACAATTCCCATCTTTTTTGCTTGATGTATTCATTATCCTTTTATATATGACTTAAGGTTACACACCTGTTTGATCCTACAACTGGCATTTGAATAAATGCTCATTGTCGACAATACAAGTGTTTGTTATTTTATCAGCAAAAAACAAAGCAGAGCAGTTAGTGTGTATGTATGTTTCTTACTGGCTGAGCATGATGATATAACCAAAATTTCCAGAAAAGTGTAATGTCAGTTGCTGTATGATATTGTGTGTAGAAATTTAAAGTGGTTAGAAATACAGACTCCAATAAATAGCAACAAGCTACAAATGTCGTCAATTATCGTCGGAACTCTCATGGCGGAATATACTAAGAACGACAGGTTGAACGGGCTTGACCTAACATTTCCCTTTACACAGTAATGCCGAAATACAAACATACCTGAAGCCTTGAATAATTCAAGTAAACTTAAATACCTACTAAACATTTACATCGATTGTTTGAAACGGACATCTGTTCACCTGATTTTCGATACAGCGCAGCCTAAAGGAGAAAGGTTTCCTAAGACAGATAATTTAACTCAGTCTTCATATGGAGCTGTGCATGTTCCAGCACTATCACCTATAGACATTCAGTTGAATTTGATTAATGGTTTTGCTGGTATGTCAGTATTTAGTTTATATTGAACACAGCGAGTTTTTTTTGTTTGGCTTTATTGATTTGTGTTGAAATTCGGAGCGGTAAGACAAAGAATCCCACAAAGATCATCATACTAGGACAGCTGGACCTTTCTACAGAACGAAATGTGAACTACCGACCAATCGATTGGTTAAATAAGTGTCATGATAAAAAAAATCAAGAATCTTTGTAGAAATGAATCGGGTTAAAACAAATATATCAAAATTTGAAGCCTGTTATGACAAAACCTTTCTCGAGAAACTAGACTTTAACACGTTAGGATCACTTCATATTTTATTTTCTGTTTAGAATAGACGCCAAGTGGCGATAACAATCTCTTTCCGTAGTAAAACAGAAATTTATGCAAGACCTCTATGTTCTCGACCATAATGTGCCGCTCACCTGAAACATGATGTGCTGCTTTGCAGTGACACCTGGGGCATTAGTTTGTTAACACAGAGGGTTATTTACTGCTGTCGAAACGTCAACAAATTGCGCGTACACGTTACCGAATTCATTAATATCATTAATGCTAATTTAGGAACTGTTTATAACTTTTCATTTCTCTGATGGCGACAGAGATCTTCTTGATAAAGTCAGTAAACTTTGTTTATTTGTCAGCTAATGCCTTTAAAAATCAGAAGGAACAAATTCGGTAATAATTTGGTAGGTCATTTAATGACAGTTTTTGTCATACATCAACGTCTTTCCGCGAATCTCCAGTCGTGTGCCTTATCAGAAAAGTAGTTCTAATAGGTGAATTTCGTTTGGTTTAATTCTCTTAACGCCTCCTAACAGGCCTTGGTCATTTCCTTTAGAAATGACCACGTGTGATTATATTGAAGTAGTCACAGACGGCGTGACCTTCAGTTGTTGACGTCACCACATCATCACGTGTTACATGTATCTCTTTACATCTTCAGTGTAAAATATCATTTAACTCAATATAATATAAAATAATGCACTGGTCTGGGGCTATCGTTTTCATTTTTAATCGAAACTGATTATCCTTATTGTAAACATAAACATTTTCCTTGCAGTACTGCAATGTTTCCTTTTGTGTCTGGTTCCGTACAACACCAAGCAATACACACAACTTGGTGATAACCCGGATTAAATAGGGGTACCCCGTATTCTAAGAAAACACAAGCTTGCTTTGCTATCTTACGCATTGTTTGCACTTGTATAACTGTATAACTGATGTTTCATTTAAAAATGCCACGTCGAAAATTGACAAATGTTAAAAGATGGCATATTGCTGGAATGATTCAAGCTGGTTTGGCATAGATGCAAGTAACTGCACGCTCTTACATCAGCCATTTTGTTATTTCTCGGTTAATGCAGCATTTGAACAAAACGGGGCATGCTGACGAGCATTCAGGGTCCGGCAGATCGCGAAAGACTACATATAGAGAATATAGATTTCTGTGTAGACAGGTAAGGCGAGTCCCGTTCACCACCAGGCTCAGAGGACAGAGGAACGTCAATGCGTTTTGAACGTCACACAGTTGAACAACATGCAACCGGTAAAACGTCCCTTGTTGATTGAAAGGTGCAAACAAGCAAGTCTGTGATGGGTGCGTGATCACTGTACATTGAAAACTAGGTGTTGTTATAGAGTCAAATGGTCTGATGAAAGCCAATTTTTAAAATTCAGACCGACAGACGACAGGATCCGTGTTTGGAGACCAAGAAATACACCACACCATCAGAATCACATTCTTGACACAAAAGTATTTACTAGTGGCGGTGTTACTGTCTGGAGATGGAAACTTTTAATGGACAGAAATATCGTGATCAGATCATCTGACATTTAATTATATCACATTTCGATGCCGATTCGTTGGCAGATCGACCAATCCTTATAAATTATGATGCGAAACCCAACAGATCCCGCTTACTGCAAGTTGATCTTCACCGAGAAGTTATAGAGACGCTCATATGGCCTGCATGAGCCCAGTTAAGCATGCATTGGGGTCATTCTCCGAAAAAAAAAAAGTATGGGATCCAAATGCCAAACATTCAGGAAAAGCTCCCCCAGAACAAGCTTCGACGTCTGGTCAATGGTATGAGGCGAAAAGCGCAAGTATTGTACCAAAAAGTGCTAACTGTCCCGTATGTTTACATTTCCATACCATATGTAAATCTTTGACACGCTTTGGCGATATAATGATGTATCAGTTAACACGGTTAAAGTCAAACTTTGTTCCACACTCATATGTATCTGTCGATTCCGGTCATTCACAGTGAGATATCTTGAACTATTTAGTGGAGACCACAAGTTCTCGACATCAGTTCAATGGAGTAAGGAACCTTGTATACAGAATAGGTGTATTGTAAAACAGGTCATGGTAGTACCCTTGGTAGTAACCGTTCGGTATATCTACGAAAAAATATGCAATGATTTACTCAACCGTTTTTTCAGGTATGTTATCTAACTATTTTTTTAATTGATTTACAGATAAAAATGATAATATCACAGATAAAATTGAATCACATGTACTAACATATGAATATTCAAATACATATTAAGATCACTTACATGCATATATTAAAATCCGGGTAAGTAGTGTATCATTGAAATCCGGATATATAATCTTGAAGATGAATTAATTCCTAATTAGCCACGAATCAACTTTGAAATTGAATGGTAATTATAAAGACCATTTCTAAGTAGTTAATGAGTCTCAATATATATTCATATATTTACAACTAATTACCGACCTGAATCAAATATTAATTATTCGTACGGACCAGGAAGACGCTACCAGTATTAACAGATCCTAGTAAATGTTATAAAAATTCTCTAAGTTATTAATCACCACTATAATTTTACAGAAAAAAGGCAACTCCATTAATTACCAATTAAGTATACTAATATCACAGTAAGTTTCGTATGCGAAATTTGAAGTTTGAAAGTTTTTTGTACAAAAACTTATCTACAACAAAAAACTTACACCGAGTCTCTGACATTGCCGTTTGTTCCAGAGGTGAACGGAATATTCATGTGTTTGTTTATCGGCAGTGAAACTCTTGTATTTTGAAGATAGGGAAGATGTCAATATTGCGTTCATTACGTGCATCAACACAGTGGTAGCAATAATAACTTTACAACGTAACATATTTGGACGGAGTTCAACATTGTGGACAGTGACTTTGACTCAACACATGGTCAAGTAGATGCCTTGACAACCTTCTTATGTCGTACCAAGTTTCCACAAGGTGTCGCTGTTCCCGAAGGGATTGTCGCTAACCAAACGACGTCCGAAGCCGCTGTATCCGGTTCTTGTAGAACCACACCTCCAACGGCCGTTCCGTCATCGTCCAGATATTCCCGACTTCCTCCGGATCTTGTCCACCCCGGACAGCATGCGTTGATCAACAAATTGCGTCGTTGATCTTTTTCCATTGTTTTAGACAAAATCTTCGCCATTGCTACCAGTAGAAGTTTGGCGCACTGACTGGGTGACTCAGGCCATCCAAATTTCTGGTAAGTACCATACTTCACAGCCTTTAAGTACTCGTTTGCTAAAACCTCAAGGTCATACAGGCTCATAGATTCGACATTGAACCTCGCTTTGGCGTCGCCCGTTAATGCACTGCTGATGCCTATATAGCCATTTGTCATTATAACGACTCTGGCATGTGGTCTTAGGAGCGGTGAAAATAGTTTTATCACATTCAAAGTGCCAAAGAAATCATTTTCAAAACAGAGCTGGGCTTTTCTGAAAATTGGAACCTTTTCACCTTTATCGAAAGACACAGCAGCGTTGTTGACCAGTATGTCAACACCGCCATAGCGTTCCTCAATATATTCTCGTAGCATCCAGATACTCGCCGACTGTGTTATGTCGAGTTCGTGGAAAATGGGGTTGAGACCTTCCTTTTGTAAAATCTGAAGCGCTTGTTTCCCCTTTGAGGTCATACGAGACGTAAGAATGACGTCACCACTAAAGTTCTTGCAAAGATTCCGAACTATGGCTAATCCGATACCCCGATTGGCGCCGGTTACTATGGCAACACGTCTGCTCATCTTGTCTGAAAAATACAGTAACATTTTGAAAATAATGTTGACGATGAATCAATTTATCATTGTGTAACAATGCGCCTACTGAACCTTTTCCTTCAAAATTCAAGGTACTATATTACAAATCTACTAAGCTATAAAGAACAAAGAATAAAATATATTACATCAATGGGCTGGAAATGTTTTAAGATTGTACAAAAGAAATATCACCTATACAAGCTTAGAGTTGAATAATGAGGAGCGGTCAAGTGTTTTCAGTAGAATTAACTGGTAACTATTGGTCCTTCATGGGAATATTTTTTTTCAAAGTTTGGATGTTTTAACGGCGTACTGGAAATGACCAAAGGGGAACAACTCCCGCAAATTCAATTAAATTAAAGTACAGTTTGAAGGTTTCTACAATAATCACGCGAGGTATGGCGATTGTTTAAGAACTTTGTAAATTCCTGAAAGCCTGAAATTTGAATGGGATTCGTAATAATTAAACAGCGCATGAAACGTATTGGGTATTGTAAATTACTCCAAAAACCATTAGTTCGATAGAAGAGCCATTTTCAAGGATTTCATTAATTAACGGAGAAATGTTATGTTGATACGTTTGTTTAGATACTGGGTTTGCCGCTCCGTGACCAGACGAGATAGAATGGTTCTAGCAGTTGGTGTTTGCCCCCCCACTGAACACAATGCGGAAGATCCGTCGCATACAATATCAAACTAAATGGGCAAAGTATCTTTCCACGGACACAACCTACGAAGCACGTGATGTATATAATGGCCGAAGATCCCCAGCTGTGACGCGGTTTCTTTAATCATTCGTATGTGAAAGTCACCGTCGGGGATGGTGTTGTTCTTACATATGTTCGAGTCATTTGATTTCGATCGTTTGAGTATATTTCTGTTGCTGGCTTCTCCGGTTGTGCCGTGAGAAACCGAGGCTCCAATCCACTGATTCATAACTTACTGAGTTTAGAAAGGATGCAGATTTATACTGAATGATCGTCAGTCCTCCAAAACGCAAGGAAATCGTCCCCGAAAGCATGGCAGATATGGGTATTTTATAGACAAGGACCAATAAACAAATACCTCGGGGTACGTCAAACACGATTGCTGCAAAAGTTGTAAATAAAATTTGTTCTGTTGACATATATCTACCGCAAACAACGGATGTACTTTTCTATGATTTTGCATAGTGTAAACAAATGCGTGTTTTCTATAAATATCTAGAAGAGAGTATACAGTGACACATTGTCAACACTTGGAATTTCTTTTATATCCAAATTTTATTTCCTGCGCGTAAATTTAGGTATAAATGATCTTTAAAAAAAGTAATATCTACTGAAACAATTTGAACAAATTCCGCCATTGTTGCCATGACACCTGATAACATATATGCCCAATTATTTCCACAGACCTGATTTCAGGTTCGATTTAAATGTCAGATCAATAGTTATATCAATAACAGATCAGGGTTGAAATCAATACCTCGATCGATACACAACACACCGATACAATACACATAGTACTGGTGTACAGCGATCGGCCGTCCGGTCTAGTGTGTTTACATTGTAGCTGGGGCTGATATATAAGTATATATATATACACGGAATAGTATATATTTACAGGTAACGGACAGGTAGCACACAGGTAAATAATAAAACTCTTAGATATTAAAATCATGTTCCAGCCAACGAGTTCAGATATATTCGTTCCGACGATTTATAAAACTGACGAAATAATGAAATGTAAAGTGAACCTTGCTGTTTGTTTATAAGGCATGCTGTGGTAGTGATTGTCATAATTTGTTTACAAACAATTACTGACCTCGTTACTAGTAGTATACTACTTAGGGGGAAAAATAATAAAAAATAAAACATTTGTTGTCAAGAGGCATAGCAGAATATTTCGATATGAATATAATTTATGACATTATTTATTACTTACCTGTCTGACAAACACGATTGTGTGACTTACCTATTAAGTAGATGTAAATGCTGTGTTCGCATTCGTGGTCTACATCAACGTTAGGCAGGCGGTGTCCAGGTAAAAAGGTACCCGCATTTAACCAACACAGGGCAATGTTTATTGGTGTACAATATTCACATGGCACCTGTTCGAATGCATGCGTGAGCAGACTCAATAGTTATGTATTTCATTAATGGATTAAAATTAATTTAATATGATATTGGTGTTTATACATATATGTTTTGTTTCCTTACGTGTATATGAAACAAGTTGCATCTGTAGTTTATATGCAATTAAATGAGTTTTAAACAGCTGGAAAAAATCCGGTAAAAGAAATAAAATAATCTCTCCAAACAACTTGACAAACATCACTGTCACCAACTGCTGATCAAACCTGATACAACATCAGATGACCTGCCAAACATGATCAGAATATGTCCATATACACAGTGTAACTATAAATAATTCCCAGGTACCTCTAGGGCAAGTGCATCGGTCATCCATGTTCACGCTTGGTGGTTTTCATTAAGTATGCCATATGTTTACTTACTCATGAAAAGAAATACAGCAGTTTTGTATAAGGCTAAAGCTGGTTGATGTCCATCGTGATCGGAAGTCGGTTTATAGAACTCTCTCTGCCACGCTGGAGTAGCAGAAAAAATTGATACCTCACAATGAACGGCAATCATTTGCTCTCAACCTGTGGAAGATGGACTTTTCAGGACCTAGAAAATCTATCACCGCTATATGCTCAGTATTATATTTTAACAACTCACTGGGGGCATGTCCCTCGTTATAATACAGTACACGTAGTAATAATTTAGTAATAAATCAGAATAGCCTTGCATTGACTCTAAACTTGTTGGTGAAAGGCTGGTTTAATATCGATTGATATTTTTTTTTCTTTTTAACAGAAGACAAATTGAATTCTTTAAACAATTTATACGACGGGAAAAGTCTGTGAGATTAGTTTTTGTTGCCTTTAACGTTGTTGTCCAATCCTTGGAATGAAATCACTCCAACATTAGGAGTTAGACTATTATGTTACATGAATGTAATTTATTAAGTTTCTTCTTTGTAGTCGAAACTCTGAATACAAAAAGAAAACAAGGACGTAAACACTGCATAATAGTAAAGATATTCATTCTGGATTCCGTTTTATCAGTGTTTAAAATGCTTCCCGATGATTTCGGGAATCTTAAAGATAAAGGGCGAGATGTCTCTAAAGTTCAATAATATCTCCATCAAATATCTTACTGTATTTGATTAAGAACTACTCGATGGAATTACCTGAATGGTTTTGGAAGGACTGGCGTAAAATTATTATATAGGTATACACAATTAATAATACATAGATGTTTACACCAAATATGTCGATGAAAAATACTATACCTTTCTCGAACTCGGTTATCTAAGAAGATATTTGTCTTTTGATATCGTCTTTGGGTAATTTAGTAGGTTTGCTTTCCAGGGTCCATATCACCGAGGACGAAGAGTATTAACGATGCAGTAAAACCCTGTTAAATTACTAAGTTTGTTTCCCTTGACCAAGTATTTAAGTCCCCAAGATTTATTTTTCCCCTATTTTTAATGTTTGAGTGCCGTGTACAGATTCCCCGATACAACGTTTTATTTGCCAATGTTCTCAACATAACGAGTGATCTCAGTGTTTCTTGGTTTGTCTTATGTCACCTATTTGTGATAGTGATTGCCCGTTACCCCCTCCACCTTCCACACAATACCAAACATAAAACGAGTCGGCTAACTTGGTACTGATTATCAATTAATTGCGTCTTAATGTTTCGATCCACTACATACTGGTGTAAATATTGGGTCAGTAATTGATGATATAAAACGTTATTTTATTGCCAATATAAAATTCTGCTACCTTGTGTTCGTGTTGCGAGTTACTCAAACAAAATGTAAAAAATAGTTTCATGTAAAGCTTTTCTGTGACAAAATATAAAAATATTTCTGAAATAATATCAAACGCAGTTAAAAACCGCGTTCCATTGATAATGAAAGTCGACACAGGTAAATAAAAATCAATATGGAGCACCCATCCTCGTCTCCACTAAATAAAACGGAAGACAGCTATAGATAAAAACACATTTAATAACTAGGTGACAGATAGTGTCCCTGATGTTACATGTCAACAACAGACATTTTCTACACAATAACATTTCATCACATCCTACGAACCAGTGACGTCATCATCAGACTTCTATAATGACTTACCAAAATCTAGAGAGATTACGTTTTTAGTTGCCCAACAATTAGTGCCTCATATACAAGGAAAATATCGAATTTGTAATGATTTATAGTTATGTATATCAAGGAAGTTTTTTATACCAATATAATATATTGTAACAGACTAATAGTGGGTATTGTCATGAATGCTTGATGATAATAATTGCACATACTTCATGGGAGTCAAAATAAGGAAGTGGGGTGCATGGAAGTCTAGGTGATATTAGGTAAGAGTGGTGCAAGGAATTCTGGGTGATCTCAATGAATTCTGGGTGATTTCAATGAATTCTGGGTGATTTCGATGAATTCTTGGTGATCTAAATGGAATGAATTATTGGTGATACCTAGGAAGTAGTAGTGTATTGGATTGAGAGTGATATCACTGGTGTGCTTTACAATGAACATTAGACCGTATTAACAGTGTAGCGTAAGGGGTTTAGAATGACGATGTAGTGTAGTACAATGAATTCTGGGAGATATCAGTGGAGTGTAGTACAATGAATTCTGGGAGATATCAGTAGAGTGTAGGACAATGAATTATGGGAGATATCAGTAGAGTGTAGTACAATGAATTCTGGGAGATATCAATGGAGTGTAGTACAATAAATTATGGGAGATATCAGTGGAGTGTAGTACAATGAATTCTGGGAGATATCAGTGGAGTGTAGTACAATGAATTCTGGGAGATATCAGTGGAGTGTAGTACAATGAATTCTGGGAGATACCAATGGAGTGTAGTGCAATGAATTCTGGGAGATACCAATGGAGTGTAGTGCAATGAATTCTGGGAGATA